CAGGGATAAGTCAATGCCTAACACGCGTTGCCGGTTAGTTCTTAACCGTAAAAAGAATGAAAGACCACATATTCGATATTGTGGCATGTTGTTATTCATAACGCCAAAATCCGTGCTTCACACGCACGGAAATTTTATCCCGAAGCCTAAGTAGGGATAAATCAGTGCCTAACCCGTATTACCGAGTAGTCTATTCCCATAAGAAAGACGAAGTCTACGTATTCAATATCGTAGCACTAAGAGAGTTAACTCTCTTAGCACAACGTCACATGCGGAACAGACTTAAACAATCCGCATGTAAGCCCGATTCAAACGGTAATCGGTAAAGGCACGTCAAATCCGTTGAAGACTGAGGATTTGCTAAAAATCCTAAGTCTACGTCTGATACACGTTGCTGTTTAGTCTTTTCACAGGAGAAAAACGAAATCTACATATTCAATATCATAGCACTAAAAGAGTTAACTCTTTTACCATAACGTTACATGCGGAACGAACTTAAACAATCAGCATGCTAGCCCGACTCAAACGGTAGTCGGTAAAGGCTTATCAAACCCGTTGATGGCTGAGAATTTGCTAAAACGGTAGTCGGTAAAGGCTTATCAAACCCGTTGATGGCTGAGAATTTGCTAAAAATTCTATAAATACGAGTCATTGACTATCAAACCCGTTGATGGCTGAGAATTTGCTAAAAATTCTATAAATACGAGTCATTGACGCATCAGCTTTATTAGTTGGTCTCATGACTTGAACATCCAATAACTTCAGGATAAGATCCATACATGCAGATGAATCAGCTTTAATAGTTGGTCTTGCAGCCTAATATTTGGGACCGTCACGCTCCAATACCTTAAGAGCTTAAACTGTGTAGACTCCAGCAAACGTACAAGTATAAACTGTGTTAACGCCGGTTAACGCGTTACAGTAAAGATCGATGCCGGTCAACGTATCAGCAATCTCTCAAAAATAACGCAAGCGATGATTTCAGGAAGTTCAATCGGATTCAGATATGAATTTCTGACGAAGATGATCAGTTCAAAGTCAACTCAATGATACGAGGTAAGTTTAGAAACTTACACACCAATCCCAGTTCAAGATTTTGACAACGGTCAGACGATAAACGCAGTGCCGGAAGAACTTCATCTATTCGACGAAACAATGAATAGATTGAAGGCTGAAGAAATTAAGAATTGAGGTAGTTCAAGGTCACTCTACGAAATTACGGAGATGGCCTATCTTATCCAAAGCATTCCAGACTCCTCTATAAAATAATGAGTCTGAAATACTTTAGAGGGGGTATCTGTAGGCGTCTAAAAATACCTATGGGTGTCCGCACACATCTCGAGATGAAGAGAAGACGATGAACGTCGTTATCCGAGTCTAAGAGGATTATCTGTCGTCGACAAGCGCATGAAGCGAAACGACGAACCAAGTGGCACGTGCGCATCAATCAACACATGCGCGTCAATCAGTTCACGAGCGTCAATCAACACGCGCGCATCAATCAACGCGTGCATGACAATCAGTTCACGCGTCAATCAGTTCGTATGTGTCGGTCAACACGCATGCATCAATCAACACGCGTGTATATCAACTAACGCGCGTTCGATAGTCAATCCCGCGATGAAACATGCAAGTTAACAAGACGGTCAAACATGCAAAACGGTGGAAAATACAAGTCCCGGAAGAGTCGGAGAACCAAAAGAAAGTGTCAGGCTTCGGAACCCGCGCCTATGCGGGACGGCCAAAACCGACTACTGAAAAGAAAGTGGCAGGTCGGCCAAGGCCGATCCGCGCCCCCGCGGGTTAGCGCGACCCATCGCGTTGTTTTGACCTGAAAACCCGTTTTTGACGATTTCGACGGGTTTTCATAAGATCTTTTCAGTTTCAGAGGTTCCTAACTGTCTAAATTCTATCTCTAAACATGGTTAATCAGTTATTAACTGAAGATAAGAAGGAATCCATCATTCTTATCCCAAAACCCGCATCCGGAGCCCTATAAATACAAACCTAATGCCTCCTTTCAGCGGGGGCGATTTATTATCAAGACGTGAATGTGCTGCTGGATTGAGGAGTCAAGGAGCACGAATTTCAGCGAAGGCAAATCAGATCCCGGCAAACTTCGGTATAAAGAAAGAGCTATTCGAAGGATCCGAAGCCCCGTACGTTCGTTCCTTGAGATTAGGCTTTGTCTTAATCTAGAGAAGAGCTACTGATTTCGCTTGATTGATTTCAGCGCTTCAAGCAAATACCTCCTTGATGAGGTAGGAGCTCTATCGAATTTTCAACAACTGGATGATCTGGATCTGATCAACGATCGTCCACGGATAAACCCCGACACAGGCAAAGATTCCACGTAAAGCAGTGGGTAATAAACGTCATCTGTGTTTTATTTGACGAGAATTGTATTTTTCGTTTTCATTGTGTAAAAGTCTTATAAAAAGACTATCTTTTTATTTTCATTATAACGACCGAAGTTATAATGAATACCGCAATGAATACAATAATTTTCGACGGAAACAATATCATTTTGTACGAGATGTCATATAAGAAGGTGATATTTCTCTCATAAAGGTACATACAAATGAGAATCCTATAGACATGTTCACCAAAGTGATGACAAGTAGCAAGTTTTAGTATTGCTTGGACTTGCTTCATATAAGCCCGTATTAATCTGCCCAAAAGAGCATGGCCTTTTGGGACGGTGATGGGCTTGGTGGAGACTACAATTAGCTTGATCACTGGTCAGAGGGTACGTAGACAGCTATGATATAATGATGCAGCTGATTTGGTGTTTCAGATCTCTCTTGTGATGCTCGCAACGTTCTTCTGGTGTTCGTCCAAAATTTAATGTTTATCAAATGATGTACGAGGTGAAGAATTATGAATGACGCGAGACACCAAAGGGTGCCTCGGCGCGAGACACCAAAGGGTGTCTCAGCATTGTGTATGCGAGACACCCTGGGGTGTCTCGGCACCCGAGACACCACAAGGTGTCTCGAAATCCGAGAGCGGGCAGTTTTATTTTCCAGATCGGTTTTGGACTGGGATTTAGTATAAATAGGAACGTTGCTTCCTAGGATTTACAACAGAGATAAAAAAGGGGAGAGTTTTAACAGAGATTTTGGATCTGAAAAGGAGAGATCTTGACGAGAGAAAAGAGAGAGAACTTAGAGGGATTAAACAAGAGGCTGTCTTCTCTTGTTTGGGTAAAATCGAAGCTTCATCTCTTTGGGACGAGCTTGTGGATTGTGCAAGTCATCGGTGTTCTCCATCATTAGTAGAATCTCCCTTCACCCCTACCGTGGGCGTAGGCAAGTTTGTCGAACCACGTATATCTCTCGCCTCATTTACTCTGAGTATTGTTTTCTATGTATTTGTCATTGCTTATCGTTTCCTCGATATTTAGATCTTAATTTAATATTGGGAAGAGTGTATATCTCACATCGCTGAGATATTCACTTTTGTTCTTGTTTCCAAAACGAAACAGGAACATCGAGGCTGGTTGGAGTTTGTGTAAACTCAACCATGGTTTTCTCTCAAGGTGATTTGCTTCCACGACGAGTGGGCGTGTCGGCGCCCAACAAATATTATGAAATTAGATCAAAATTGATCTCATAAATCTGCTTCAGTGCAGTTGCCAAATTGATCTTAACACTGTGATGTGATGAAACTAATGAAACAAGGGAACAATTTGCAAGATTTTACATAATATAACAGAACAAAGTCTCTTGCAAATACCATTACAGAGGAGGTTTATATGCACAAATACCATTATAGACAGGAGGGTTATCAGCAATTCACCAAAACAGTTCTATGTTCCTAACCTAGCAAATCTATGATTTAGTATGTTATATGTACTTTGAAGCACTGGGGCTTAACCTCTGTTGAGGCAATATTGGCATGAGGCAGGGTTCGGTATGGATGTTGACTACCAGTGAACCAACATTTTCAGTAGAAGCTACACATTAAAATAATCATCTAAGAACCCTTAAAGAAAATAGGGAGAGGAAAAAAGAAAAGAAAAGGGGAAAAAAAATCTTTGCTCATGAATTCTAGAGAGAGAAAGAGAGAGGGGTAGATGACAGAGAGAGGGGGGGTGGTGGGTGGCAAAGAGAGAGACAGGGTGTGGTTGCCATCAACTTTACCACTGAAAGGCAAAAAGAAGTACACAAGGGATGGGGGGGTAAGTTCTGTTGTAGGATATGCTTCAACTTTCCCCACATCTCTCTCTCTCTCTCTCCCTCTCCCTCTCCCCCTCGAAAAACTCTTGTTACTATTTTAGCTTACCTTTCTTTTTCTACAAAGAATCACACTCACCCCTTAAAAGAGCTACAAAACAAACTCCCTACCTAACCTCCTCTCTCCTATCCCCCCTCACTCTTTCTAATACAAGAAACTCATTTTTAATGCATAAATCAACTTCACTGTAGCTCCTCCCAATAATTATACCCCCCCTCCGTGGACTATATCTTCAACCCCTGTGTGTCTGTCCTCCAATAATGTTATGTTGGTTTTGAAGTTGGCATGGCAAATGGGTATGGCTCTCTGCTAAGGTGAGCAGGGTAGTTGGTTTCTTCTTAACCTTCACACTTGAAAAGAGAGGAAAAAAAAAATCAAAACACTGTTCCCCCCATCTCCCTCTCTCTCTCTCTCTCTCTCTGCTCCCCACCACATTTATTGTGTTCCAGTGGCATCTCTGTCGGGTAATTGAACGTTTGGAAACCCCCAAAATCAGTCCTCCAGCTTCAACCCCTTAAGCCTCCTCCAGTCTTCTTTTCCTGGGCTTTCTCTGCTTCCAAAGATTTCATCTGGGCTCTTGATTATTTGCTCAGATACTCTCGGGGAATTTCTCTCTCTCTCTCTCTCTCTCTCTCTCTCTCTCTCTTCGCGCTATTGAGTCAATGGACTTGGCGACCTGAAGATGCCACATCCGTTGGACTTTCCTGCTGAGCTTGAGCACCCGAATGCCGAGCCGGCATTCGGGCAGCTGATTGGGCCAGCCCAGCGGGCTGGGCAATTTCAGCCCGGCACACCACTTGCTCCGTGGACCTCAAGCTCGGCGGGCCTCGGGGATTTCGGCCCGCCGGATAAGTGGAAGGAGCAGCAGAGCGTCGCCGGGCGGCGGCCGTTCCCCATTCGGGCGGCTTCGACCGGACGAGGGGCGCGGCGCCAGGGCGCGGGGAGCCAGATGCCTCCTGCCTTGTCGATGGGTGCAAGTCTGATCTCAGCAACTGCAGAGAGTACCACAGGAGGCATAAAGTCTGTGAGGCCCATTCGAAGACTCCCATAGTTATGGTCGGTGGCCAGGAGCAGAGGTTCTGCCAGCAGTGCAGCAGGTAAAAAGGACCGGAGATGACGGTAAAAAAAAAAAACCTTTTGTTGCTGTTTTTTTTATCGAGTATGAAGCTCGGATTTTTGATTGGTGCCCGGATGATGTTTATAGCATTGTTTTTTCTTTTCTTTTTCTTTTGTAGGCATTGTTGTTTGATTATACCGTGTCATTTAGGACCGTTCTTTGATTGTTGATGACGAGGGGATTTTAGGAGACCGGATATAGTTTTTGCAAGATCCTAGTTTCGCTCTGTTTCGTACCACCTCTTTTATCTCAGTTCAATCGTGGGTTTTTTTTTTCGGTCCAATTTGATGCCCAAATGATGTTTAGTTGGTTTTTTTTTTCCTTTTCTTTTCCTTTTTGGTAGGCATTGTTGTTTAATTAGAACGTACTGCTTTGGGCTATCATTGATTGTTGATGGTCAAGGAATTTTTTTTGATGATGTCCTTTTCTTATTTTTGGTCATTCTGACTATTTTAAGGCGATATAATCGAGTACTAAGTAGTTTACTCTTATTTTTGCTCATGGTACTTGTTGGTTTATCTTAAAGTGCAAGCTTTTCTGTGATGGGACAAATTGAGGTGAATGGTTGTTTCTGTTTACCGCATGATCAATAATGTAACACTTCTGTAGGTCCAGAGATTGATGCCTTGGGAGGACTAATGTCACCTTGACAACTGGTTCATATGATGTTGTCCTGGCTTTGTTAAGCCTTCATAATATGTAGAGTTCTGTTTCACAGAGGAAAAAGGTGAAAGCCTAATGATGATAATGATAGCGAACAAGTTGATGAATCCGTTAATATTTATGTCCTAATCGGCTGTTACATTATCTCCATGTGGATAAGGACAATGTCATTACATGAAAAATTAATCATGGTATTGATATATATATATATATATATGTACATTCCTTAATTGTGAATTTGTTGAAAATGTTCTGCCTTTTTGTTTGATCGCTACATCAAGGACTGTAAATCATCTCCTGAAGATTTACGGGGTATGTGTGGCCCAAGGACTTGATTGTTCTCTCCTTCCGCTATCTTCCTTTCTTTTTCTTTTTTTTTTTCTCAGAGAGAATTTTTTCGCTCTCTTCTTTAGCTTTGCTTTGTTGCTTCTTGATTCTTTCCTCGTGATGCTAATTCCTTCGCTTTACTTAACAGTTGCACTGCTTCTCCGCAAATATCCTTATCTATGATCTTCTACTTTGCTTTTTTTTTTTGGGTTCATTTTATTTCACTAGTTGGAAGAATAAACCGTGCCTTTACTCGATCATAAAAGCACCAAACTTTTTCTTTTTCTTTCTTTCGGTAGATTTTCTTGTTCAACTAGTTTCCTTCAGCGGTTGTTCTTGCACATCCAATATCTGACTTCTTGAGTAATATGAGAAAGATTCTCCTTGCTAGTAGCGAAAGTCGATATATTTTTGTTCTGTATGATAAAAATGTTGCCATGAAAAATCTCTCATACATTAGATCCCATCATTATTAAAATTATTAGACATCCCATATTAACAATGGCAGTGAATAAAAATTTCTTTTGATTAATAAATGATGTTGCCTTTCAAGTACTGGAAGTGTAGCTCTTCGCGCCTATTTCTTCAAATTGTATCCCGTTTGTTGTTTTGATAAGATTCCCTAAACTGAAGCAAAAGCACGCTGCATTTTGATTTCATCGTCATTACTATTCAAGAAAACTCCTATTCAGTGGCAAAACACCATGGTATAAGATCAATGCCCTTTTCTTTTCTGTTTCTACTTCATCATGGTGTTCCAAAGTGTCAACTAAATAGAATCTCAATGCTTAAAAATTCTTAATGCTTGGGTTACTTCCGTTCAACAAGCTATCTTCACTCTTATACTTCTTATATTTCAGTAATATTTTATAAACATGATGTGAGTGGCCTAGAGGCATTGTTTTGTATCCTCAAGTATGAATACACGGATGCATATGTTTGCTAATTCATCACGTGAAACTCCTAAATTTTCCAACTTCTGACAAAGTGATAAGTTCTTCTACAACTCTCTTATTCTTGCATTCTAAAATCTTAGAAAAAATGTTGACTCCCATCAATGACACATCTCAGCGCAATTGACAAATGTTATAATCTTCTCACTGTCTTGGAAATATAGTGGCTTGATCCTGTGATATCCTCTTTTTCTTAGATTTCATTTACTGGTGGAGTTCGATGAGGTGAAAAGAAGCTGCAGGAAAAGGCTTGATGGGCACAACCGGCGCCGTAGGAAGCCTCAGCCAGACTCTATGAACTCCGGGAGTTTGTTTACAACTCATCAAGGTATCATCCACCATGAAATATCTATGTTATGTCGATACTTAGATTCAGTCACTTTATTTCAGTTTTTCATTTGTTTTTCTTGTAGAAATAATGTATTGGACTCATGAAATTATCAAAAAGTATGATAAATCAATGTTTCGTTTCAAGTTTTATGCTTTTATATAAAAGATGCAAGTCCAGATTGTGAAGTCTAAACTAACATCATCAATCAATGGGCTATTGATGCACTATTCCATAGCTACATCATAAACATTCATATAAATCTGCTATATGGATATGTATTCACACATCGTATAGGTTGGCGGAGTTCCATTTTGTTCGTGTTAATCATACATCTAATTGCTCCATGAAGAATTTCTCGGTATATCATGCAAAGCATTGATTAGAAGTATAAAAAAGTGAAACTAATGTTGTGGAAAAGAAAATTTTGTTTGTAATTACCAAATTACTAGTGTTTTTTAGCTATGTTATTAGAAAGAAATGAAGGTGCACTGACGTAATTTTACCTGTTCAAGATTACCACTGTGTCTAACTTTGATCCTTATAATTTTAAGCATATCCCCCATCATCATTCACACAAACTATTCACGAAATCACTTTGCTTACATTTAAGGGCTAAGTGCAAATATCCCCTGTACTGTGAGGGGTATAGCCACTTATACCCTCTAAATTATTGTTTGAGAACTTCCCCAGAGCTAAAGTCATTATTACTTCCTAGAGATGTCACATGGGAATCACATGGGAATCACATGTCAATAAATTACCTTTTATCTTCATGTTAATTGGAAAAGTGCTTAATTTACCAGCTAAATTTAGCCTAAAATAGTTTAGGTGGTATAAGTGGCTATTATCCCATACTGCAGGGTGTATATGCAAGTAACCCCAATTTTAAATATTTGACGATGATGATAACATGATATTGCTCATATCCTACAACTGAAATTCTGCCATGATAATGCACAGGTCCTAGATTCTCGTCATACCCTCAGATTTTCCCTACCTCTGCATCTGATCCTGCGTGGCCTGTAATCGTAAAAACTGAAGAGGAGCCCCTCTACTCTCACCACCAACCATTGCACTTCCTCGACCGCCAACACCATCACCACTTCTCCACTTCTTTCACCCGAAAACATTTTCCCTTCTTACAAGACTCCGAACCCTCCATCTGCCAACCTCTCCTCAAAACAATCTCTGCACCTGAAAACAGCGGCAACACTAACAAACTCTTCTCTCCCTTGGATTGTGCTCTCTCTCTTCTGTCATCGCCGCCGCAGACCTCATCCATCAATCTTGGCCAGATTGTTCCTTCGACTGATAGGATCCCGATGGGCCAGCCCTTGATCTCTTACAGCGGACTCGGGCTTGGCCGTTACTCGGGCTCGCATGGCGAATCTAACCACCATGTGTCGACCACAGGGTTTTCTTGCTCGGGGATGGAGGACGAGCATGTGGGCAGTACTGTTTTGGTTTCGGATGCGAGTGATGCTGAGATGCACTGCCAAGGGTTGTTTGGTGTAGGAGGAGGTGAAGGGTCATCTGATGGGGGGTCTCAGGCTATCCCCTTCTCTTGGCAGTAGCACTCATCTCATCATCTTTCATGTTCAATGTCTAGAGATTTTGGTGGTTCTAACATATGGGGTCAGCTATTGCAGCTTGAGCCGAGTTTATTGGCATGATGGCTTGTCTTCTGATTTGAATGATCAATAGATTTTTTTTATTTTTAATCAAACCTCTGTTGACAATGTAAAATAATGTGCTTTCCCTGTAAATTTCCTCCTTTCAGTGTTTCTATTTTTAGATCTGGACTCATGTTTGTTTAGGGTGAGGGATGCTCCCCTTGTTTGCCTATTCATTTGCGTTGCATGGCACTAAGATTTGAAGGGGAAAGGTAGTGACTGTGAAAGATTGCTGTATCGCACAAATTTTTTATTTTTTTTAAATTTGCTGTGTAATGTTAATGCTATTATATAGCCTCCTCCTCCACCCTACTAGCATATACTACTAAAGAAAAACCTGGTAAATATATGTTGTAATTGGTTGCAACTTGCAAGACTACGCTGCAAGGAGTCTTTGCAGGCCCAAGTACTCAGTGGGGGTTATCAGAACCCTGTAGGAGTGGGGGTGACCTCTTGATCTCAACAAGCATTAGTTCTCTAATTATCCGTGAATTGTACATATCACCCCTTTATATTGGGTGTTTTGATAGAATCATTCGCCAAGCATCAGAGTTCAGCTCAACTATAAATGACATATTTTCACTTTGATGTCCAAAAGTTCATCCATTTTTTCACTGGCACCCTGAAATAATATTTTAACACCTTGACGTTCCAAAGTGTTGATCTTATTTTACTCTGATACCCCCATTCAAATTTTGTCAGGGTTCTTGTTAAATTCATATCATTTGCTTATCACGCGATATCCCCCTCCTTGAACATTTAATTGTCCGGCCCCCTAACAATTAGGGGTGTTTGGTTCAATTTCTACAAATTATAGAAAATGTTTTCCACCCAAAATATGATTTCATTGTATTTCTTAAAAAAAAATTATAGGAAAAGTTTTGAGAAGTCAAAAAGTATCAATCTTCTTGTTTTTTTACTTTACTTGTTTGGTTCAAAACAAGAAAATGACCCATAACTTTATAGAAAATAGCAAGATTTTTTTTTTACTTTACTTGTTTGGTTCAAAACAAGAAAATGACCCATAACTTTATAGAAAATAGCAAGATTTCCTATAATTTGTAAAAATGACCCATAACTTTATAGAAAATAGCAAGATTTCCTATAATTTGTAGAAATTGAACCAGACACCCCTAAATTTATAGAAAAGTGTCAATATGGTGTCAGATTTTTGGGTGATTTCTGTTCATTTTGAGAGGAAATTGTTTTCTGTAAATTTTGGTACTTTTTTGTACTTTTACAGAACATATTTCTATAATTTTTTTTTAACCAAAAATTATTTACGGAAATCTACGAAAATTTTTTAATTACAGAATTGCTATTTTCAGACATTTTGAAAAAACTTTTTTATAAAATTGTGCAACCAAGCACCCCATTAAGTAAAATGGACCTAAACTTCAACGTATTCAGATAATAATAATAACAACACTAGTGAGCTTTCGAAATGATAAAAAGTTAAGGGATAAACTTGGGAGTATTAAAGTGATAATAAGCCAAAATAAAGTAAAACTATTTCTATCGTAATATTTTATCTTGTAGATCACACCTCAAGCCTGCACAAAATATCTTGTCAGCTTTAAGGGGCAGAGGCAAGAGATTCTTGTTTCGCTTGCGGTGTAGATGACAAAGACCATTTACTGTAGTAGAAAAAGCACATCACGCCAGACATCTGAACAAATCAATGTAGTTGCTCCTTATATTTCAATGTCATCTATCTTAAATCATCAGATTTGTAAAATTTCATCAAGGAAAGAAATAAATCAATCAACCGTTTTACTGTGCTAGAGATTGCACATCGGGACAGTTCTCCACAAAAAAAAAAAATCAACATAATCATGGTGAAAACAAGTTGCTCTTTAAATTTTAAGGTCATATAACATTAAATCAACAGACTTGTAGAACTTCATCAAGAAAAGAAATTGATAGATCAACCACTGTTTGGTCGCAAACAAAAAATGATACCCTAGTGAACACCAATAGTCCACAGAAATTCTGACGCAGCGCGGAAGTTATAACATCGGAATCCATCAATGGTGTTCTCTAAATCCACAAAGAACGATCTTCGAATCCACGAAGAACTTCGAATCCATGAAGAAAATATTAAAAAAAGAAATATTATTGATGAAAAGTTATTCTCCATTGGGGTTACATGACTCTTCTTAAATAGAAAAACAAATAAGACTCCTAGTAAGACTAGAATTACAAAAAATAGAAAGTATCAAATAAGACTCCTAGTAAGACTAGAATTACAAAAAAAGAAAGTGTCAAATTCTATCCTAAAAAGACTCCTTATAATAGAGGAAACAAATCATGAATCAAAATTGATTTTGTTTCCTAATCTAATTTGACTCTAAAATTAAATTTATTTCCTAATCTATATTTCCTAATCTAAATAGACTCCAACTCAGATTAAGCGTCCTACATCAGTCTCCCATTGTTGAAAGAAGCTCGACCTCGAGCTTATATTTGTTAGAATAGTAGCTTCATTGATAAATAATTTTCTTCTCTTGCAATGATCTGCATCTGCCTTATATTTAGCGTTGATTTTCTCCATATGTTGTTTTGTCTCCTCTGCTAGGGCTTTTTTGTATAAAACTCATGTATTAATCTTTCTCATGACATGTATATATAATTGGCAACATGTGGCTCTGTAGTTGGCATGAAAAACTCTTCTAAATATATCCTCTGTTGCTTCCTATATTCTAGTGTCGACGGTATCATCTCATTATTAATGATCATTGCTTCCAAAAAAGAATATTCTCCCTCATACTCCATACATAATTCTTTCATCTTCTTTACCTCGAGCCCTCCACCAAGAAATTCACACATACCATCAATTGTCTCACTCTTTATTTTATCCTTCTCCTCTATCGGGACAACATCAGTATGTTGCATATCACTCTCAACCACTTTAAGAATATCATGCATATCATCCATCTTCACTATCATATCACCATCATGCATTTCATGCATATCGAGTGTTTGCACCTTAGGAGGAATTTCGGTAGAGGCATGTTCTTCTTTTTCAGTTATAACCAAGTCACAGACCTCTTCAGATTGTTTCAAGTTTTCTGTTAAAGCATTGTTGTTTGTCACCAAGAGTTCCTTCTTCTCAGTAGTCTTTATCTTAGATGGCTCCTTTTCTGTAAGAGGCTTGAGCACAATTCGCCGTCCATCTTTTTTGAAGATATAAACATTGTCTTTGCTCTTATGGGTAGCTCCATTATTGAATTGCCATGGCCTACCTAAAAGCATATAACAAGTATCCATCTCAACAACATGACACAAAACCTCATCAAAATAAGTTTGACCAATAGAAAAAGATACCAAACACACTTCATCGTTCTGCACATCATTGCCCTTATAAATCCAGTCGATCTTAACGAGAGGTGTGTGTTTCTCTGTCTTCAAACCTAACTTATTCACCATACGCCGAGAGACAAGATTCCTTCCACTGTGACTGTTAATAATAACATTCCAAATCTTCTGCATCATGGTACATCTCGTACTAAAGATATTGTGCTCTGGAGGTGGTTCTTCTTTCTTTATTATTTCTTCACTGTTCTTCCTAACTCTAATGTCTTGCTTAAGATCATTGTCGTTCTTCAATTTATCATATGGAGTCGGATCACGTTGTTGGCGACCATCAACGTGATTTTGAACTCCTATCGTGTTCAAACACTCCACTGCCGATGCAAGTCGCTCTACTGCAGTCTTCATCTGATTAACACCGGTCTTCAGCACGTCGAAGTCAGTTCGAGAAATAGGGGCTTCATTACCTACCATCGGATCGGAGGAACAAGGCTCTGATACCAATTAACGTAACGCGGAAGTTGTAACCTCGGAATCCACCAAGGGTGTTCTCTGAATCCACAAAGAACGATCTTCGAATCCACGAAGAACTTCGAATCCACAAAGAAAATATTAAAAAGAGAAATTTTATTGATGCAAAGTTATTCTCCTTTGGGGTTACATGACTCTTCTTAAATAGAAAAACAAATAAGACTCCTAGTAAGACTAGAATTACAAAAATAGAAAGTATCTAATAAGACTCCTAGTAAGACTAGAATTACAAAAAAAGAAAGTGTCAAATTCTATCCTAAAAAGACTCCTTATAATAGAGGAAACAAATCATGAATCAAAATTGATTTTGTTTCCTAATCTAATTTGACTCTATAATTAAATTTATTTCCTAATCTATATTTCCTAATCTAAATAGACTCCAACTCAGATTAAGCGTCCTACATCAAATTCACAAGTTTCACTATTGTAGGGTTTTGACATTCCAGTCCGTACAAAATCTCTTTATTTCCTCAAAGATACAACATCAATAGATTACGACGCAATCTAAATAAGAAAAAAGACAGAGCTTTCTTCATCTTCTCGACCTCCAACCAATCCGTGGAATAAGGAAGAAACTCCGAGAAATGGCTTCGCATAAGATCATTGATAGCAATAGCAAGCTTTGGGATCTCTACAATCTCCTCATGGGTGAGTTTTTTAACGAACCTCGCGGGATTACCAGCCCAGAGTTCACCAGTTGGAATTCTCCGACATAGAGAAAGCACGGATCCAGCTTCGAGGATTGAGTTGGTCTCGACCAACGAACCTTCCATGAGAATGGAGTGTTGGCCTATGATGCAGTCTGGTTTGATGGTGCATGATCTCAAGAGACTGTATGCACCAATCGTTACGTATCGGTCAATCGATGTTTCTGCTGGTAGTCCTGAAATTTGAAATATGTTGACATTGAGAAATAATGGCAAAAGAGAAATAATGGCAAAATGTAAAAGGTAATATAAGTTATATTGAATAGATAATGGTAAAATTGCACGAACCCCCATAAACTTGTTTTCATGAGTTTTATTATTGATAGAATTTTCATTAGTTTTTATAGGTTTTGTGAAGCATTTTTTCATGGAAACCACCTAATAAATAGGGTGATTATATATGAAGCACCTAAAATTTTCAATTTATATCAAAGCCACCTATTTTGCCTTCAATCAACCACCAACGGCCTATTTTTTTTGACCTTTTGAGCAAATTTCCATTAATATCCTCAATGAGGGCGCGTGCTACATATGTTTTTCCCACAAGCCATCAATGGTATTGTTATGTCATCATA